TTTTTTTTTTTTCTTCTTCTTTTTCTCAAAAACGTTTCTATTTCAAATTAAAATAAAACTTCTTAATACGAGGAAAAATATATTATATATTTACGATAATGACGCAGCATATGAATAAAATAATTCAATTCTGTTAATCCAACATCCCTCATCGAACATTTCAAATTTATAGGTTTAAGATATCGGAAAAAGCATGGACGCTTTATCCTGTTATCGCGAAACGTTCTCCTCCCCCCTCTTATTCAATTACTTTTCTTATAATTTCTCCCTCTCGAAGAATCTTGCTGGATGCACTTTATTCCCGAGCTCTCTTAATCTCTTGGAATCATGAGATCGTCCCCTGACGATCGAAAGCTAGTTTGGAATTCGAAAGTTTCGAGTCGAATTACGGAAATATCTCGAAAGTTCCGTATATATCGGCCGGTTATTTCCTTTCCTCGCAGACTTCCTTCTCCGAAGATTTTCCCCGTCGCTCGATTCTAAATAACGTAATAAGAAAGTGAAGCATGAAAATAACTCGATCGATCGCCTGGAATAAAATCCAACTTCCAAGAAACTGAATAGAATCGTGAATAAATGAAATAAAGAATTAAAAGTTGGATTTTTTTCCGTATCGCAAAAAATTTTGTTTTTTTTCTTTTTTTTTTTTTACACAATAGAATTTAAACGTTTACGAGAAATTTCAATGTGCAAAGATGCGTAAGAAGCGCATAATTTAAAAAAAAAATATTCAGATTAAATTTTGTAATTTTTTTATTTTTTTATTACCTGTTTATAAGCGGTTAAAATACATAATTGCACGGTTTCTTTGATACGCGTGATGCATAATTTTGAATGTCGTAAATTTTCTCGTTATAAAAAGTGATTAAATTGAACGTGTGTAAAATCGACGGATTAATAACCACTATAAAGCGTACAATGTGTTACGAGTGTTACTAATTACGAAGCTCGAGTAATTATACTCGATCGAAGTCAATTTATTTTGTAAATTCTGTCCATTAATGTAGCAAGCGTAACGAATCATTTATCAATTTCTATATTCTTGTTATATTCGACGGTTAAAAATATTTTCGCGACAGTAAAAATTATTACTTAGATCACGATTTTTAATATTATTCATGAATCCATTTTTATCTTTGCCCAACGTTGACAAGGATTAATCTCATTTCCAGCTTTCTGAATAATTCCACGATATTCTTATTCCCAGATAAATTAAGAGTACACGTATAAAACATATGCACATATTTATCATAATTTCGCTCGTACCTTCATTTTCGAACATTAAAAGATAATTATGTAACATCGTATCGATCAATCTACACTGTTTCACATTCGTTATTTCACAATTCTTCCCTTTAAAATTGCTTATACCAACTTAACCTTACCGAACTTTAATTCGAACTTAACCTTCAATTCAAATTCTTCACACTTAACCTACAAATTTTATTCATTCACATTTCTATTAATTGGAAAACAGTCACGACAATAATATCACTTTCCTTTCGCCGTGATCACGTGTTATATGTATCGAATAAAAAATGTGTTACAATACGATAAACAAAAGGAAGAAGGAAAAGAGAAATAGAGAATGTTTGCGCGATTAACCGAAACAGTCTGTTATTCGCATCGGATCGTATAATTGTCGTTCTACCGCAGAATCGATTTGCACGCGCCTAACAGCCCTTTTTCCTTCCTTCCTATTCGATTCCTCGGCGTCATTACGCATTTTACGTCTCTCGCGCCTGGAAGACCGCCATCGGAGGCTATAAAATTTTTATGCTGCTTCGCTGGTAGTTTTTTTTATTAAGCCCGGTCTTCTAAGGCTCTGTGCAACCGCAATCACGTGATCGCGAATTAGTTGATTTTATAGGTATAAATATTCAAAAGGGATCTAAGAAAGTGTTCAAAATCGTAAATTGTTTAATCACATTTTCACGAATCGATGTCATTAGCGTATTATAAATTAAAATAAGTTGTGTTTTTAAAATTATTTAATTTTTTTTTCATGGAAATCATCTGACAGTTCGATATTATAGAATAATATTTACTGTACTTGTATTTTTAGATGTTTAATTTTTATATTATATCCAATCGAATTATACTTAATTTTTAACCTTAAATTCTGAAAGATATAAATTATTTGTGAAGCTTATTTCAATAATCTAATAGTTACTATAATATATCTAGGAAATTAGCTCATAAAAAACCACGTATTTGAAATAGTCGAGAAATAAAAGATCCATGTCTATCGAAAACATACGTGTCAAGTGGAAATGCATAAGTATGTATATGTATACATTCGTGGGACAAACATGTGCATAGCTGTCGTGCCACAGCGGTGCTTGTACCTCGAGGAGGTCCTGTCAGAAGGCAGCTGTCACGTCTCTTCTCTGTCTGTAGCCTCGGGGAAAGACTCTCCATGGGGTCCACAAACAGCGCAACCATAGTTGGTTATGTCTTTGAATAATATCGGTGAAATGAAGTCTTTATAATTATCGCGTGGTGACAGTTTGAAATTGTTATTAAGATAGAAAAGATTTTGCATGCTCTCTTTTAATTTTTTTTTTTTTTTTAATTTTATTAAAACGAAAATAAATTGCGCGATTATTATTCTCTCTCGATCAACAATTATTTTTTTAATTTTATTATTAAAAGTATAATAAATGATAGGAATTGAAACGATGGAAAATGAATAATATTATATCTTGTTAAAAATATAGAAATAATAAAATATGATCGATTTCAGTTACGGATTCTTAACACTTGAGGTTCCTTCCTCTTCAGAACACGTGCACAAGTCGAATTCCATCTTTACTTAATTCCCAAGTGATATAAGGTTATCAATCTTTTGAATTGATTTTATTATCTGCAATTCCACGACAATAAATTAATCTCATAAAATATATTATTTTTGAGAATAATCCAATTGAAATAAATTCAATCGAAATAATAATAAAAAATTTAATGACGCGTAACAAATATTTTTCGATATTTTTTTTGACGTCCAATAAATGTTGAACAAATAACATATTTCAACCGATATGACTTTATTTTCCACGCATCGATATAGAATATGCAGAAACACGGATATATGTATATTATCGTAAACATATGTTACTAAATAATCTACAAACGTCATTACCAACCAGAGTTTACAGGATTTGTTAATCGACAACCGCGTCTGTTAATGATGCCGTGGCCATAAACCGAAAGGATTTCGCCCGATTCCCGTGCAAACTAACTATTCGCCATCGCGGAAAATCCGCAGACGACGAATATACATATCTGTTTGATTTCACGCGATTTATCATCGGTTAACTGCACGCTGCGACACTAATGCGAAGCAATAATGCGGCGTTGAATTACAAACGTTTGCCAAACAATGTAATTGATTGCCCATCCTTTGATAACAAATCCGTTTCGAATTTGCCAGTGAAAATCACCGTTTCCTGATCGCACTTGCTCCGGGCTAAATATTCCGATATTGCTCGTTAAGTTGATTCTCTTCCTCGCTTGAAAAATTGAATTTTCTTCACTTGCCTAGAGGAAAAGATAAAATAAAATTGATAATATTATTTTCATTGTGAAACGAGTAAGAAAATACTGTCTGTGATCACTCTTATGATGGATAATACCATCATAATTGTTGATTCTTTGATTAATTTTAATTTTAATTTATGAAATCTGCGCTATTGTACAATAGAAATGATTTTGAATTGAGATAATAATATATAATAATATATAAAACAAAAAATAAGTACGATTTATAAAAATACAAAAATGTGGAATGGAATATATAGAAATATAAAAATATATATTGAATTTTGTCGATAAGTTAGGCAACAATTAAAAAAATTTTAATCAGCGTCATCTCGCGTTTGGATCACTGAAGCTCCGATTTGTTAGTAGGATAACAGAATATGCAAGGAGGCATTCGAAGTCAATGACAAAGTAAGTAACATTGTGCGAGAAAGACGGAGAATATCCACCATTTTTAATACCACATCATAGAAAATTCATTAATTATTCATTTTCTATTCAAAATTTCTACACTTTTAAGCTCGCATTTTGAAATTATATCTTCAAGCAAATTTCTTATATCGATTTTAATGTAAAATTCTTTTCCATTAATTATTTATCAACGATTGAGATATACTTTCTAATATATCGAAGACGCCATATTGAACATTTATCAATTATGCATTATTTAATCAATATTTTTTGCACTTTTTAGTTCATATCGTCAAATTAGAACTTTAAATAAATTTCCCATATCAATTTTAACGTGAAATTTTTTTCAATTAATTATTTATTAACGATTAATCCGACACATAATCAAATCAATATACATTGATACGCAATACGTTTTTCATTAATTTTACATTATTATAAAATTTATTTATAAATATGAATGTATGCATCTGAAAGATTGTTTCCTCTTCTACTTTCACATATAATTTTTATTTATAATTTTTATTCATATATTATTCGTATGAATAAATTTATTACTAGGTTACGGATTAGAGATTCACGATTAAAATACTCTTTGTGACAATCGTTAATAAATTATTAATTAAAAAGAATTTCAGATTAAAATTTATATAAGAAACTTATTTGAACTTTCAACTACATGATACAAGCTTAAAAGTATAGAATTTGTTTGTAAAAAATTAATAATTAATTAATTTTCAATTTATCGAAATATTATCTAGTGACGTCACGAATACCTCTTTGCACATTCTGTTATACTAGTAACAAATTGAAATTTCCAAGATCCAAACGCGAGATGGCGCTGATCCCCTAACTTTTATAACCAACTTATGGACGAAATGTATGTTCTGTCTGTCAACGGTTTAGTATAGAAAAATGAAAGATAAAACGCAATAATTACAGTAAATTTGTGAAATATTTGTGAAAAAAATGTCATAAGATTCGTGGATGAAAATATCTAATAATTTTCTCATTTTCTCTTTTCAGATTATTATATTAATATGTAAGTTTGTTAAAAATAATCATCTTCAGAACTACAAATAGAAAGAGTTAAAAAAAATTTTCAACTTTTTCGTAAATTTATGATTTTTTTAAAAAATTTAAAAATCTTTTTTTTACATTTTTTGAATTTTTATTTCCATCAAGGAATTAAGAACAATGAAAAAAATCATATATCAATTACACGTTAAAAGTGATATTTATCTTGTGATTGTAGCGCAATGCGGGTACTCCTCTCGAAACTTCCGAGACCATGGATAGTTGACGAGAAAAAGGACGATGGTTACACGGCCCTTCATCTGGCTGCTCTGAACAATCACGTCGAAGTTGCTGAACAGCTGGCACGTGCTGGAAAAGCTGACCTGGATTTGCAAAACGTCAATTTGCAGACCGCGTTGCATCTCGCTGTCGAGCGACAGCACACGCAAATCGTTCGTGTACGTTTATTTCACCACCTGGGAAAAGAGAATTCCTCGCTTCTCTGATTCGATATATGCTCTGCACAAAACGATCCGGTGAACTTTTCCGTTGTTCCAATTTCTTTCAAAAACATGTTTCGAGCATTAATCTCAATATCTCGAAAAATTGAAATATATTTTTCTTTCTAAATAATTCTTTTTCTATTTCATTGTAGATAAAAAAATAACTCAACAAATCATTATCGGAGAATTAATAGAGAAGTTAAAGAGAAGTATAAACTTCAAAACTAATAATATGATTCTTAATATTATAATAGATCTGACATTTTTTCCAATCACAAATATTTTTACCGGTAACTACAAATTTTCTCGCTTTTTTAATTATTTTCAAAAATATTTACAAAAGATCCATATCGATCGAAAAAATGTGAAATCAAATCAAAGCCAGAATTATGGACGTCGATTTATAATTAATTTTACATAACATAATTAAAATATTTTTAAACCGATAGGTTAATTTCGATGGTCGATTAATCAAGATTTGTAAATTCTGTTTTTAGCTTCTGGTACGCGCGGGCGCTAACTTAAACGTGGCAGACAAGGATGGAGACACGCCTCTTCACGAAGCTTTGAGATATCATACTTTGTCGCAGCTGCGGCAGCTGCAGGATGTCCAGGACGTAGGACGTCTCTTGATGGGTTTAGGCGCACAAGGACAGGACAAGAAGAGTAGTTCGTTCATCGCTTGTTTCCTAGCTGCTCATGGGGCCGATTTGAAATTAAAAAATAAGAAAGGACAAACTCCTCTCGATCTATGTCCGGATCCAAATCTTTGCAAAACTTTAACTACTTGTCACAAGGATAAAGAATCGTTAGTATAATAATTAAGATCTATCTATCATGATCATGCATGAAAAATATTATTTGGTGAGAAAATAATTGAAAAATGACTTGCAAAATTAAATATGTATCATTTTAGCAGATTATATGAATTTTGAAAATTCTTCTAATTTAAAAATTTAAAAATATAAATAATATTAAATTCTATTTGATTTTATCGAGATTTATATAATAATAAAATATATAATATTTATATTTATTTAATTATATAATAATAAAATTAAAACTTGGAAAAATGTTTTAAAACATTCAGTAAAAGTATAATAAAAATATTTTAAATGTTAATCAAATTAAATCAAATCTTCGACCCATAATGTAAATCAAATGTAAATTGTAATCTAAGATCATAAATAGTTTGATAAAGTTCTAGTAAATTTTATTTTCAATTCTAACGACACACTTTAAGAAACTTTTATTTTCATTTAATTGACATATGTATAATATTATATGTATATTATATATTATTATATGTATATTATAGTTTCAGGCATGATATCGAAACAGCAGCCCCATCAGCTACGATCGACGAATGTTTGGTCTGCTCCGATGGAAAACGTGAAATGCTTTTCAGTCCCTGCGGTCATGTAACTTGTTGTAATATTTGTGCGCCAAGAGTGAAAAAATGTCTAATATGCAGAGAGAATGTTCTTTCTAGGACGAAGGTAAAATATTCTGTAATATATTATATAATGAAATAATAATAATGTATCAAAATATATTAATATTATTAATATTAATATTAATAATATATATTAATAAATCAAATGAACATTTTATAACATTCAGAACATAATATAACATAACATAATCAATTAATTTCATTTATAATATTTATGTATTATGTTTCTTTGTTTCATAGATAAAAAAATATTCTATATAAAGTAATATTTTTTTTCTTTTCAAATGTTTTTTATCACAGAATACAAATCTTAATTCGAATTTGATAAAATGAAAAATATTACAAATAAATCGAAAAATCAATAAATTTAAAGGAAAACAAGTGTTACATGTTTAATTTAACAAAATATTAAATATAAATTGAATAAAATATAAATTTTAAATATAAATTATTTACAGATTGAGGAATGTGTCGTTTGTTCTGATCGAAAAGCTAGCATGCTATTTCGTCCATGTGGACATATGTGCGCTTGCGAAAGTTGCGCAACCCTGATGAAGAAATGCGTACAATGCAGAACTCAAATTCAGCACATGGTACCACTATCTATGTGTTGTGGTGGAGGAGGAGACGTTACTTACGTTAAAAATTCTAATGCTTCAGGTAATTGAAATAATATACTATTATATTTTATATACTATAAAATAACATAAAATATCATTCTCTTATACATTATAAAATTATTTTACTTAGGGGTAACAATAACAGAAGTAAAGAACGATCAAGAAGAAGAATTACCACAACAAAATACTGGAAATGGAGAAACTATTTTAATGAATAATGGTAGCCGAGATACGTCTCATAACGATATACAGAAACTTCAACAGCAACTTCAAGATATTAAAGAACAGGTATATATTAAAAATGATTATTTTTATGTTATATATTATTTATATCATAAATATATAAATATATTATATTAACTTTTGTACTAATTATATTTTATAATTTTTATAATATTATTATTGAAATTTATAAATTATATTGAAATTTTAGTTTTCTTGTTCTCTATAATCTTAAAAATTTGATTAATAAATATTCTTTTTTTCTCTCTTTTTTTCTTACAGACTATGTGTCCAGTTTGCCTAGATCGTTTAAAAAATATGATATTTTTATGCGGTCACGGAACATGTCAAATGTGTGGAGATCGGATGTCAGAATGTCCAATATGTCGAAAAGCTGTAGACAAACGAATTTTACTTTATTGAATGTAAAAAAAAGAATTGTTATCTAGAATTCTGAAATTCTTTTTAAGAATTATTATATTATTGTTAAGAATTAATAATAGGAATAATTAAATATTGCATTCAATGATGTAAATTTTTACATTTTTTTTCCATATATTTCTCTGTTTCAACTTCCAAATAAGACTGTATTATAAATTAAAATTTTATTAAAATTATCAAAATATTTTTACATATTGCTTATTTTTTTAAGCAAAATTAAATTTATATTAATTATTTTCCATAAAAAATTTATATAATATTTTTTATATACATATTTTAAAGTTTTTGAAAACATTTATACAAATTGAAATAAATAAATATTTTGATTGATTACTTTATACTATTAATCTATTGTATATTATAAATAGATATCATAAATCAGTTATTTAATATTATAATTTGTATCATAATTATTTTTATTTTTAGCAAATATGTGCTAAATATAAGTATCTATATAAAAATCTTTAATCTTAAAGAATATATACAATTCATAATATGAATTAAAAAAAATTTTCTACTTTGTTTTTTAAGAGAAAAATGCAGTATTTATTTATTCCTCTTTTTTTCAAACGAAATATATACATGAATTATTACTTATCACTATTATTATCTATTATTATTACTTATTATTACTTTAGCTCATTTTCGCAATATAATGATAATCAATTAAATATATATAGATTAATTTACGAATTAGTCAAAACATGAATATGAGTTATAAGATAACAAAATATTAAACAAACGAATTAATTAATAATGCTTCAATTATTCATTTTTTAAGTTTATCAAGTTTATTTTTAGTCTATCAAGTTTAATTTAATAATAAATATATAATTATCTTTTAATAATTATTATTAGTAATAAACAAAAATTAATCAATATTTTTAAACAGTTATAATAATATTCTCATTTTATGGTATATAATATATATACCATATTAGCGAAATTATCTATTCAAATTATTATGCTTCTTTAAATTTATAATTATACTAACAATTTATTATCAAAAATCAAAATTTATTGTCAAAAATCAGCAAATGCCTTTTATATAGATTTTGCTTTCCTCAACTAAAAACAATAATCAGCAGAATAAGAAATTTTTATTTTAAAATAATAGATTTTCAAAAATTTTGTATTTATTTTTTTATTTTAATTTTACTTTTTTCTGTAATTATGTAACGATTATTTTATTCCGCTGATTATTTTCTCATTTATATTATGTTTTATGTTTATGATTAGATTTTACAATCTATTGTAAAAATTAATTCCACTCTTATAATCTTTAAGAATATATTACTTCTTGAAACTTTTTAATTTTTTTTTGTCTCATGAATGATATTTGCATGAATTTCTTGTAAATACTTGTCTATTATATTCAATAATTAATATTGTCGTACTTATTTGGCCTGCTTGAATCTATGTAAAATATCTTATTATTGAAAATTTCAATTATGATAATGGATAGTGCCAATTATTTTTATAAATAATGATAGAAATGTATAATTTATTATTAAATACTTAATTTGTTATATAACAATATAAAAATAATTATAATAATCATTGTAATTTGAGATTTATCTATATAAAATGATAAAAATTATATAAATATAATTGATATATGATTATTTGCATAAATCTTATAATGACTACCATGTTTTAAATTATAGACTGATTTAATCAATTTACTTTTCTTAATAGTGAAAAAAAATGGAAAGCAAAATTTTAAAAAGGTAATTTGTAATGAATATCAATTTAGATTTTTTTGATTCACAAAAAATATTTATAAGATTTTGTATCTTCTTTCTTTTTTTTTTATTTTATTGAACACAGAATAATTGTTTATTAATATTATTATTCAATTTCAACAAATATATTGCGTATTCAATTATAAATGCTAAAAAAAATGATTCATGACGTTGGTTAGATTATTAATAATTTGAAAAAATTTTTATTCATAAAATTACTTAATATTACTTTAATATTGCATAAAATGTTTTAAAATTTTGTTTATTTTTAAAAAATGTATATTTTTGAATTTTTTTCGTCAATTATAATTTTCAATAATAAATAATTGTCATCTATACTAAAATATTTTTCTATGATTCAATTTTTCTTATGACCATAATAACATTTTG